ACTTAAATCATATTTTTTTAAAAACATATGAAGAAAGCATACTGCAGTAAAACATGTTTATTCCACTGTAATGAGATTGAAACACATACTTTTCTGTACATTTTCTGTAGCTCTCTGGTATTTTCTGTCTCATAAGTGAAGCTCTAACAAAATTCAAAAGGCACCATCTTAGACAGTTTTAATGCAGGTTATTCAGGTAATACTATATACAGGAGTTGAAGTAGCAGGAATTGCAAAAAAGCAGGTCTTTCAAATACATTTAAAGATAAATTCCCTCTTCAGTTATTTTCAAATGAAAACATACCTGTTCAAAAGTCCCATTTAGAGCTTTTGGGTGTATAAAATTCCATAAATTGGCTTTTCTAATTGAAGAAAGTAAATTATTAGAATAAATGGTGCAAGTGTTTACAAGTAAGAGTTCAATTTACTTTCTTTATATATTAATCCATATAATTATTTTCATTCTTATTGAGCTAAATGGAACTCTAGGGGTGGTACCCTAAAGCTGATGTCAATGTGATGAATTTCATCTTTAGTATCTCCTGGTTCATTTAACATCTCATTCATTAAGGCTACTACATATTTTATACGATTTTGATCATCTGCGTTTGCAGATTCCTCGTAAGGTCAAATACATGCGAGCAGCTTTTCTTTTATTTTAGACTTCATGGAATGCTCAATCTTAATAAGGACTTTGAGACGAAACTGCTATGGTAGTGTCCTTCATGTGCACCATCCTTTTTTTATTCATTTTTACTCTTTGCATGTATTTGTTCACTTTATTGAACAAATACACATTCAAATAGAAAAAACAGAGTTACAAATACTGCATTTGGATCTATCAAGAAGAAAAGTATTCTACAATGAAGGAGTCTCTCAAGTGGTGGTCCTATGTTAAAAGTCATCCAGAGCCTTCAATTATGAATATTTTAGGCCAGATTTCATGAGCTTAGATTAGATTAGAAAATGGCACATGAAATAAATGCTACTTCTTTGATTCTTCGATCCATGTCTGCTCTTATAATAGGGCATAATGATACTATGCAAGAGGTAAGGATTTTAAAATTTTATTTAATTTACATACTAACTTCCTTAAATCCTAAATTATTGCTATTATGATGAGAAGAAGAAATAATTTAGATTTTAACAGATGTTAATTATTTAAAACCAATCATTTAGTGAATTTATCTAGTTTTTTACCAAAACAAAAATTCTTCACAATTCAGTGAAACAAAAATATCCAAAAATAAAAGTATTTTTCTGTTGCATACAGGAATGTTGAGATAAGGATTTTCCATTATTTCCCATAACAATTTTTCTTATCATAAACTATAATAAGTTTTCTTTTATATTCACGGAAAAACAATGCAATGCCTACTGTGTCAATGCTGTTGGCTCACGGTCCCCAAAAACCGCTTGGTGCACTAACTTGATTTCATAGCAAAATTGATTACATATCAGTGCAAAATTAATTATTGTTTGACACTTTTTAGAGCTCCTGACAGTGATTTAGTTCAAGTCTACTGGATGGGTGAAGCTATGCGGTCATGACCATTGGAGCATCATGGGCAAAGATTAGCTAAGATACCATGCCTTGAGTTTTACTCTTAAAATTTTTTTATCTATATGACTCTAGCAGGCTGAAAGTGGAAAAAAAATGTTTTTCTAAGTCCAATAACTGACCCAGCATACAATATTTGTGATTCTCTCAGAAGTAACAACTTTTCTAGTTTAATAGTTCATAGTTAAGGTGACTGTCCTTATTATGCACTCCTATTAAACTTGGCTCATGAAGTCATCTCTGAGCATGTGAGCTGAGATGAGGAAGTGTAACCCAAGAAGTTAAAAAAATGCAATTTCAGATCAGCATCAAGTGTGTTGTACATCATCAGGCCTTAATGTGGAAAACCAGACATTTTTACCCACTCTTAAGGTTCAGCTATTGAAGTATTTGAACAGATATTATTTAATACAATGACATCCACATGTTTGTATACTCAGATATCACAGGGGCAAGGCTCAAAGAGTGTTTAGTGAGATAATGCAAGTATGGGAACCATATTGTTCTCTTATTCATACAAATCTCTATTCAAAGAAAACTTAACACAGAATTCATGCTAGAAAGTGTGGTGAGAGGGATCACGATTTTCTGCATCATCAAGATGTGATGGGAATACAATGATGTTGAGGGGCAGCTAAGAAAGCCTGTTATGAAAATCCCAGTCTAACTATGTTTACTTCATCTAACAAGAGTAGAAAGCAAACATCATCTTCCCAAATTTAAAAAAAAATTGTTGTAACCTTTCAGAGTGTAGATTGCCAGAAAGGAATATTGTATAGTTTGTCTTTTAGGCTTCTTAAATATGTGAAAGTACCTTTGAATAGTAGGATTTTATAGTAATTTTTTCTTCCTGAGATAAAAAAAGAGAAAGAAGTAGTTAAGGTATTTTTTTTTCCTCTTTATAAAGAAAAGATTAAAGGACTATTCAGATAAAATCTTCACTCTCTTTTTTTAATCTTTGTTTCTTTTTCTGCCAGAAAAAAAAAAAGAACCTAGACTTTAAATGTAGAACAATCCTTTAAATCCTCATTACTCTGAAGATTATAAAGATTACAAGTCCGTACAATACTTCCTGAAAACAGACACATAGAAATGACAAGCAAATATCTAAATGAGGGACCCAGAATTCTTTTTTTTAAACACTGAAAGAAAAAAGAGAAAAGACACATAGAATTAGCTGTCTTTCTGCCATTCTGTCCTCAAAGCTCTATGAAAGAGTTGAACATGAATTAGAGAGAATGGCCTAAAAAGACTGTAAGTAGCTTTCTTAATACAAAATATGCTAATCTGCAGAGCACAGAATCAGCTGCATTTCCAAAGGTGCTCAGTATTCTAAAGAAATAAAGAAAAGAGCATATGAAAGGTAAAATCCTGCTTAGAAAAATGGATGTGCAAGCTCTGCATTCCAAAGATTCACTTTAAAATTCTGCCTTTTCCAGTTTTACTTATGCAATTTATGATTGCTTAAGGCAACTTTTGCTTTTGTTTCATACCACACATGAGCCACACACCTTGTTTTTTTCCAAGGCTATTTCGAAATTTTTCTTTGAAAATTAATTTGCCAATTCTAGCAAGTTGTTAATTTTTCCAACATGCTTTAACTTTTACTGAAATACTTTGCCTTGATATTGCACAAGATAGAATGCACAGAACTATGATAGCACTAAACTGAGCTGAGTTTAGTTAGAGTTCATGTTCTCTTATACTCGAACTAAACTTAGAAGGAAATAATTTGAAAGCAGTGAAGAAATGATTGTATATCTTTGAACTAAGATCAGTTTTTCTAATATAGCCATCAGAAATGCCAGATCATCCTGCTAAAAACCAATTGCTTCTGGAATATCTGGTAGCTTTCCACATAAATTAACCAAAATGGTACCACAGTGGAGGGAATGGATGGAGTTTAAAAAAAGGTAAAATTCTCTGACCAAAAAAAAGTAAAAAAGAGCAGTACTATTTGCCATAGTTCTGAAACAGCAAGTTGTTCTTGGTTTCTTTTTTGGGTTCTTATCCTGGGCAAACTGAATATCAGAACCTCACAATATGAGGCAATGTTTTGAGAAAGAATCAGCTGTGGAATCCTGACAGCTGATTTATTAAGAAAATTCAGTATATTGGGTTGCTCAGACTGTGTACCTCCCTATATAATTTAATTGGGCAATTTCTAAGCAAATCAAGAGGTAGAAATCTCAGAGACGAAAGATTTTTACACGTTTTTTTAGAAATTTCAAGGTGAGTAGAGGATGGAGACCAAAATAAGGAAAAGTAGGTATGAATTTGGCCCATGAAATAATGCCAAGAAGAAAATCAACACGTATTTTCTCTGAGGTACCCATAATACATCCTGACACAGGAACACTAAAAAATAAAAGATACAGCTAGCCCAGTATTACACCATGGGACTTATTAAGGACACCTAAAAATAGTGTGCAGGAAATAAGCTGTCACTCATTCTGCATCTCATGGGACTACCTTGGCTTTAAATAATTGATATTCTGAAAAAGAAATTCATTCTACTACACTCACAAGCGCTTTTTCTAAAAAGACTTCTAGCATTGATGATTTTGTTTCTGTCAAAATTTATGGCTCATTTATATGTTTACAAAATCATGACACCACTTAAAATTAAAATAATTTATTTAGGATTTTAGAAATGCCATAGATATGACAGGTGAAGTATGAAGTCAGTATGTAATACCTTCTGTTAAGAAATGTGATCAAACTTAAAGGTTTTTTTCCTCTGTGACTCATGTATTGGTTTTCTTAGAACAAATGTGACAGAATATTTGCTGTCTATATTTTCCAGATTTAGTATTGGAAAATTTTTATTGAAGAAACTAGAATTTGTATTCTAATGAGTTTTTAATAGATTACATGATGGATTCTCATATATGCATACTATCTTCCCTTTTTATTGTGCGTGTGTGGATTCTGTATATAAAATGTTTTCATTGGGGTATAGAAGGATTTCCACTGAGGATGTTTCTCTGTTTGTCTGTTTTTCTCTGGGGTTGGAGAGATTATTAGCAGAGAGCTAATAACAAAACATTGTTGTTACTTCTGAAATTGCAGTCCCTTATCTCAATGACTAAGCTGGAAGTAGAAACAGGGTTTTCTCAGGGAAGATTATGTTGCAGCAGCAGAACACCTGCTGAAAGGCTTCAAGTCTCTCAAGTCTGTCAATAATCACTTGACTGAGAAATCCAGAACTTTACAAAAAGAAAGCCTTCACAATGACACTTGTAAAAATGAAAGGGAGTAGAAGGAAGAACTCTGCAAAGACCCAAAGATCTTGAAAGGACAGAATGAAACCTAAAGTAATGTAGATGTTTTGAGACTGGATTTTGAGTGGAAACTTTTATTGCTTTTCCAAAAAGCAATGTACTTCCTGTGATTCTCTATGAGTTATCTGAGGTTGTTTAGATATCTTTTCACTACTCTGGTCTTATCTTTATTTCATAGCTGTGTTGTCCCTGAGAGTATTTAAAATAATAATCTTCGCAATCACATTTTGGTGGAGCTCTGAAAGCAGTAAAGAACTACTTACTCTGCACCAGAACTGGCACAGGAGGAGATGGCATCAGGATGTGGATGGTTGACATAGAGAGTCTCATCTGCTTGGACCAGGTGCTTGACAGTGACTCTGCAGACCATGATGGCGCCCGTGAGCCTATAGATGCCAGCCTTGGTAAGTTTGCACCAGACAACTTGATCAGGTTTATATTGAGATAGCTGAGTCAGTATTATGGCATTACAAATTTCATGGTAAATATGTACCATCAATTTCTCTATTTCCTCTAAATGTTTTCAAAAGTCTTAAAATTTTGAAAAACAATGTTGCTTGAATAAAATGCATCTGTCTTTACTATCTGAATACCCTGTAATTATCAGGTTTCTTCCTATTCCTTCAACCATCAGATCTCAAATTATTGTTACAGCTCATGCAGAAATTTATTCCAGCATATGCTTCTTTTCTTGCTGTAAGAGATATGTTGTATGAGTGTGTTCTTCAATAATAATCCTTATTTCTTTTTCAGATGCATAATAATTACATGTTCTTCTGGAAGGAGCTAAAGTGTTTTGTTGGCATGTTGAGGTTTTCTTTCCAACCTGTATTTATTTCTCTTCAATGGAAATTAAACCTTTATTTGGTTTTAGAGGAATTTCCAGAACATGGTCCTCTTGGATGTATGTCAAAAATACTTATAGAAGCAGCATGCAGAAAGATGAGTAATAGAACTTAAATGATGACCATTACCAAAATAATACAAATTCCATTATAAGAGAACTACCTCTAATTTAACAACATAGCAGACACTCATTAAAGTATATTTTCTTCTTTTTTTCTTTTTCAGAAGTGAACAAAACACCACTACAAAGTGCCAAACTGACAGCAGTGGAATTAATTCTGTCTGCCTGGTAGACAAAGCATAGCAACCAAGCTGGATTACTTTAAATTTTGGTACGTTTGTCACGCTTGTCTTTTTCCTCTGCTCAATGCAATTGTTCTTTGTCCATTGACATTAATTGTACTATTTCTATTTACTCCAAAGACCTTTAGTTCAACTCTCAAGTACAGGAACTAACTGCATGCTGATTGCCATTTCAGTAACATGTAAATATGCTAAACTGTGTGTTTGTCAAAATGAAAAGAAGTAGGAGAAAAAGAAAGGACATTGTTTCAGGCTATTGGCTAAGACAAGTTCTGTTCTTGAATCTTCCACTCACTGCTAGCAATTCTAAGTACTTCAAGGAACATTATTTTTGAATAGTTACTACTAAGAAGTAGAAACTACAACCCATTAAAAATAACTTGGGTCTTGCAATAGAGGGTAGGAGAATGATTAACTACATTGACATCAAGGATGAAAAAATTCGTGTAAGGGCAAATCTAGCCCATCTGTGCATAGAAAGGTTTCTAGGATGACAATTATCCTATTCTTTCCATTTTTCAGGGAAGGGGTTGAACTATTTTAGAGGTAGGAGTGACTCCCTGGAGAGTTCTATAGCTCTACACTAGCTAAGGGTGATTGGGAGGGAGGGAGAGAAGAAGGGAAAGGAGTTCACATTTTTTCCCCCAGCCTCTGAAGTAAAAAAGATACATCCTTCAATAATTTTAGAAAATACTTTACAAGAATAAGATTTTTTTAATTTTAATTGTATTAAAATACAAATTTTAATTCAATAAAAAGGTTTTTATCTAAAAAACTAACCAATTTCAGATAACTCAGATGCAAACACTGTGCCAGACTTCACAAACACACTTAGACATTTCCCCTTTCATATCAAATCCACAAATGGATGGATTGATATCACCAAGTTGAGTGGTATAATTGATATCCCCAAAGGACAGGAAGCCATCCAGAGGGACCTAGACTAGTTCAAGAAGTGGGCCAATGGAAACCTCATGAAGTCCAATAAGGTCATGCACAAGGTCAAAATCCTTTTCTTTGCCAGGTTTAACTTCATCCCTTATTTCCAATCCCTCTCTTTATCCCTGCAAGCTACCCTCAGTCCCTTCAGCAAGCAAAAAATGAGGAAGGGCACCCTATGTTCTATACTTGGCTGTTTTTCTCTGACATTCCCATCCTATCACACCTTTGCTTCAGTGTGAGTTCTTCCACTGGCTGCAATGCTTCAGGAGAACCTTCTCTAGAGCAGGCTTTCCTTTGGTGGAAGGGAATAACTTCACCCCCCTTGCCTGACTTCGGTGTTTCTTGTGCTGTTTTACACTACTTGCACTCCCTCCTCCCCTCCCTGTTTGGTGTTCTGCCCTTTCTCAAATACAGTATCACAGAGGAGCATCACTGTGGCTGAGAGGATCTCCTATGCCCTGTGTGCGTTGGCTGGAGCTGGCTGGAACCATCCATGTGCACCCTGGGCAGCCCCAGCCTCTCCTCCCCGGCCAGCACCTCACCACGCACATCCAGTGCAAAGACATACACCAAGTCCTTGAGAAGATGCAGAGAGCCTTGTCTCAGATTTCTGGGAGAATAAGAAGTCAAAACCCCATTATCTGCTTGATTCCTTTAAATACGTATGGATACAAGAATCTTGTTTTGAACTAGATTTACTGTACTTTATTTGCAGATAAGTTACACTACCTATTGGCATGAAGAACAGAAAATTAGTTTATTGTTGTATTGTGTAACAACGCTTGACACATCCTTTGAAGTCAGACAATAGAAAGATGGAGGTGTTCATTGAGAAAATTTTTTCTCAATAGGTAATGAAAACATTCAAGTGCTTACAGATTTTTTGCAACATGCCATGCATGTTCCAGTTTGTGTAAAATTGGATATGTAACAGAGTTAACAATTTCTTTTTCAGAGAGGGAAACTGAACAGAATACAGAAGATGGATATCAACTGGTATTTCTTTTTTAAATGCATCGCTGAGCAATGGCTTGAAAAATGAGGCAATTAAGGTTTGCTTATGAACAATTAGCTTGAGATCATGAACTGCTCAGATGAGCAAAAAAAGTAAATTAAATAAATGTGTATAGAGGATATAAGAAAAATGTTTGATTTTTGTACCAAGGAAGGATAATTATATAGGAAATTATCCTGAAAAATCAGCATATGTTAATACTCCTATATGATTAAACCAACATGCAAAATAGCTGAAATCTACCAACAGTTTGTAGAGGGACACATGAAACGTGGGATGGTTTTAAGGACTTTCTTTCAGGGAAGTTCTTGGTTCCTCCAGGCTGCTGAGACATCATCAGCTGTTGCTCATGCTGCTCTGTGAAGGCACGTGGCTGTACCAAACACAAATTTCATTTGAATGTACTTGCTACTGTAATAATACATTACTCCTTGAGTTCTTCTTACAGCACTGGTTCTCTTGGGCCCTCAAATTGTGGCATCTTTGTGATCTGAGTTTGTTCAGAGAATTCCATACAGTCTCTGCTCTTCCCATATAATCTATTGTGATCATTGCACATACAAATTAAAACAGCTGTAAGAATGAACATAATGACCTGTAGTATTTGAGTTGCAGCCTCATATAACATTAAGAATTATCGCTCATCTACTGAGAAAAAATTATATAAAATTATACAGACTCTTTTTAAAACAAAAATATACATTCAAAAATAATAGAAGTAAACTGGAAAATAATTGACTTCTACTTAAATTCTATTAGTTCTGCATAACATAGGAAAAATAATGTGGAAAATGTAGCAAAATATCATTTCTCATCAGCAGAATTCAAAGATTGGTTTTCTTATTCAATAACAATATCATTACAAGTCAAACTGACTTATGCAGCGAAAAATTAGCTAAATGAAGGACTCTTTCTCTTCCTCCTTGTGTTACAAAAGCACAGATAATCTTTAGGGTGGGCTTAAAAGGAACAGATGAAAAGTTTTTGTTGGGTGCCAAGTAATACTTTGTTCCAAAATTTATTGGTCTGAAAAAATAAGAAACAAAATAAATTTTAACAACTCTCTTAATGCAGATCCAGAGTTGAGCTCTATTTGTTTTGTTACTTACTTTCTTTGCTTTAGGGAACAAAGTGGTTAGCTGAGCAACATAACCACAATTAACTGGCCTATTAAAGAGAAAAACAATTTAAACATACAGGTAATAAGCAAATTTATTTCATTACAACGCTGTTCTTATGTCCAAAGAGTGGCAAGGCTGAAGATTCTAAGCAGGTATACACACACAGAGCCCATCTATATCCTACATATATATTCATACATAACTATTTACATATATGTGCATACATGTGTATATCCACAGAGCCCCCACATAAACACAGGGTGCATCAACATCCTCCTTCCCTCTCTGGCTGGACAGGATGGAGGTCCAGTGATGAAAAATATATATCCATATGTACAATGTGGATTGCACATCCAGCTGCTGCATTCACTTGGCCTGCCCGGTGTTGGGATCTGGTTAGTAAAATTTTTAGAGTGATGCCTCTACCTGAATTAAGGTGCAAACAAGACATTAAGTCAAAGTCAATAGTAGGAATTTTATTAAACAGCAAATATGAAAGAGGTAAGTGTGTGTGAAAGAGGTAGAAAAGAGGTGGGGAGATAAATGTAGTGACAGAGATAGATTAAGTAGAAATGGTAACCACTCTGTGGATCCTAGCAGCATCCTATTGATCTTCTCCATCAGGTTTTCTTGGTGGTGAGGGTCCCTCCCCAGAAATGGAGTCCAGTGAATTAATATACATTTGGGTAAAGTGGGAATACCCTGGGGCAGGGGCAGTGTTGCACAGTCTCTTGTCACAGACTCTGGATCTGCAGCCTCACTTTGCGTCATGTGCAGTCCTCTGGTGCAAGGCCTCAGGAGTGAGTCCCTAGGGGACCCTCAGGGGACCCTCTCTAGTCCCTCAGGGGAGCACTCCAGGGGGGTCTTTGATGAGCACCTCCTCAGGTGCCCCTCACATGCAAATCCTGGAATGTGGCCTTCCCAGGGTGGGGAGCCTTACAGCTCAGCCAGTTTGTGTAAGGGAGGATGGGTGTTCACTGCCTCTGACCGCAAGTTATGCCACACCCCTAAAACTCTCCTCCTCTCCCCTAGGTTGTGGGGGAGCGTATGCAAACACGGCCTGCGCTCTATGGCCTCCTCCACCCCAAACCCAGCCAGGGATGACTTTCAGGACAGCTACTGGCTTTGGCTGTTTTTTTTTTGTGGATGTATTCTTCTCCCTCAGCCTTGTTTCCTTCTCCCTGAGAAGGGAGATGATTGAACCTGAGATGATTGAACAATAGTATCACTTTTATTTTATCTCAAGTTCCCTTAAGTAGCTTAATTCATAATCCAAAGTTTCAGTTTGGAGGCTTCTTCAGGGAGGGGTGGGCTTTGCTGGTTGCAGCTTCTTTTTACAGTTTTGCCATAATGGACAAAAAGTCCTTCATAATAATGTTTGAGCCACAAACCATAACATTTCAGTTTTTGACCATCTGTAGCTGATCCTGGGCTCCAATCTCTCAATTTATCAGCACCTGGACATGGGTGCCCTGAGTCATTGCCCCACTCCAGTTGCTGGTCACAGAAACACAGCTGGCCTAAATGAGTTTGTCAGTGGGATATCAGTCTTGCATCAAGACTAGTGAAGTCTCTTGATTGCAGGCAACCTTAAACTGTTTATACGTAGAAGAATGTAAGTGAAAGGTTATTTTCACTGAAGGTTACACACAATATGACTTTTAGAATTTAATTGCAATGATAAACACCAACTGCAAATCAGAAAAAGATCTTTGTTTTGCTGCCATCAGCTACAAGTTCCCCATATCAATACTCAGAATTGAGGCTCTGTGCACAGCACAACAATTTACCTCACACCTGAGCCCAATCAGAGTCAGATCCACATACTGGGGTTTCTTGCCTCAGGTTTCCTGAGGGAACTGACCTATTGAACATTTTCTGAATGCAAGTAGTAAACATAGATGAAATTGCAGCCAGTGTTTTCAATAAAAATTTGTGTGTATGGCATCAGCCTTTCATAGATGACTGTGGCTAGCTCACCTTCCCAAGAAACAACAGACTCAAGCTTTCCTGCCAAGAATATTCAGTCTAGTCCAGTCCTACAGCTATGATAAAAAGATTAAGCTGTTTTTTTTTTCTTTGAAATACCATAAGAAAAGAAAATCATATAAAATTCACTGACTCAGAGGTAGTGTGAGTTGGTAAACAAGTAGTTTGGATTCTCTCAAAGGGATAGTGAATCATGGACACAAATTTCTACCTAAACTTGTTTGTGGACTTTATCCAGTGATTCATTAACATAAAACACAACAATCCTAAGGCTGGGTTGACTCTTAGAGTAGCTAAAAATCCCTTAAATGGTGGATGTTAGCTGCTCTAGAAGTCTTTATTATATCCAGTTATTAGTTCTCATTATAAAAGAATATCTCATTTTTCAAGAATGTGAGACATGAGCCCACAGACATTTCAGAGAGCTTTTGATCCTGCTATCCATTTTTCAAAATTTTTGATTGCACCATACTCTGGCAGTGTATGTTTTAGTGATTACAGCAGTTGCTGACTGGCTTACAACATGTTGTATAACACTAAGCTAGCCAGCCACCACTCACCTCTGTGAAGCAAGATATCAAGTGTCCACTGCTGTATGAGCCTGTCAGATTTCCTGTCCACTTTACACTTCTACTCAAGACTTCGTGATTAACAATCTAACATGTACCTCTGCCTGCTATTTCTTATTTCAAATGTAAGAATATTTTTATATTGCAGAGCTGATGAATTGCTAAAATTTTGTGTCTTTCAGTAACAACATTTATGGTTTGTTAATCTTGTTCTAACAGGGTTAATATTTTCATTTACAGCTAACGTTTTCAGGGTGCACAGATTTCATCATGTATGTGTAAGATTCTGGCACCCCATTTGAAACAATGTTTTGCTACAAACTCTCCCTGTATAGTAATTTTAAGGAGAATAATGAACATTTTTGCCACACACGTCTCATTTCTGAAATCTGTCCTTGAATACATCCTTTGGTTTTTTGTTAGTTTCTCTCTCCCATTTCTCAGCATTATCAGGCAGGTAGTTTTGCATCAGATTCTAAATATATCTGTCCTGGCTACAAGTTTATTTCTTTGATGGCAGTAAAGATGAAATAGAAACTGTATGTAATGACTTTGCAGTTTTTAACAGTGGCATGAGAGGCAAATGTGTGGCACCCGTATATTGAAAGCAAAAAATAGAAGGATCTGGGTATTTATAAATTCACAGCTGAGCTTCAGCTCCTAGAAAAATACTTGCTTAAGTTATCAAACAATTCCATAAATTCCTACAAGAAAACAGGGTGATAAGTAAGAGCACACATGGATCTGCCATGTATGCCATAAATCAGGAAGTGTCAAACCCATCTTGGTTTTTTGACAGGGTAACACTGGAAGGACAAGTGGATGTCAAATATCTTGATGTTAGTAAGGCTTTTGACATTGTTTCACATGAAATTTAGTAAACAAATGTAGGAATTCTTGTTTTCAGAAAGAATGGATGCAAAGACAAGGATTATAAAGTACATTCAAGCAGGGATTATCAAAGAGAATTGCAGCACACCACAACAATCTGCTTCAATTTTCAACACTATTTTAAAATATCTATGTTTTATATGTATGGCAGCCAGAAAAGGCATTTTCAGATGTGGCAAGTGTAAAAAAAAGTATATGCAGAAAGCATTAGTGATGAATGCAGTACTGGCCACCCATGTTTTGAAAATATTTACTCATACTGAGATAGATTTGACACAATAATGCTTCTAGAAGCATATGGGGAAAAGGCTGACTATTTTGAAAAAGAAAAATGGGTTTCCTTCTTTTACCTGAAAAGCAAAGGATAAGAAAATATATAACTGAGGTGATAAATCACTTTCCCACAGCCCACATCATATGCATAAACTTAAGTGTAAAAAAAACCTTATTTAGGTAAAGGATGGTGTTGACATAAGAAGATGATTAATTTAATCTGCCCATAAATTAAATTAGGTTGTAAATTATAACAGTTCTAACCATCAGAGGAGTGACATTTAAGGGGGAGAAAGGAGAGGGGGAGGGAATTCAAACCTAATAAACTGATTAAGTTCTATCTTGAAGCTAGTTAAAGGAATTGTAATGAAGCAATTGTCTGCTATAACAGCTGGGACTGGTCTTCATGCTTCAGAAGAACCCTTCCTGTTCCAAATTCTTCATCTTACATCTAAATTTAAAGTATATATAGAGTAGCTGTTAAACTTCTTTTTGCAGCATGAACCTATATGCCCTTGATAGTAAAAATCTGTGTTTTTTGCTACTCCTTAACACCACTCTGTGAAAGCAGTCTGGAATCAGGCCTCTGACATGCCACAGACTGCAGGGGACAGCATCCTTTGGCATCCCACCACCATCCCTGCACTGACTTCAGCAGCTCTGGCCCCCTGTGCCCTCCATCCCATAACAACCCCTGCATTAATCGCCTTGCATGAGTTGTCAAGTCTGTGGCAGTGCTCCTGATTGTGCATGCTCCCTGGACATGAGTTAAATAGGAACTCAGGTACGAATCTGCTGGGTCTGCCTGGGAGGGGCTCGCTCAGTACCTACTGGTTCAGCAGAATATTTCTCACATTGTTTGGGTTCCAGTGGCAGCCAGCTGGGTCCATCTCCTCTCTGCTGTGCCGTGAGCCAAAGGTGCCTGAGTGTGCCTTCCTGGGCACAGAGCACACACCACGGAGCTCTGTGCTCCTGCACTGGGACTGCTCCTGGTGAGCAGGATACGCAGATTCAAAGGGAGGAAGTGAAGGGCGTCACAGAGAAAGCTGAGTATTGATAACGTGACCTGATCTTCTCAGCTAACATCTGTGCTGTGGAATTAGCTGAACATTTGAGAGAGCTGGAACAAGTTGCCATTGCAACTCAGGAAGAGAACCTTTGGGTCAGAAATTACCAGGCAAGTTTTTGTTACTTTTGTTTTGATTTTGAGGAGAGTGACTTATGCAAAAGTATTTTCAATTTTCACTTCAAGAGGCATTAGAAAGTTCTGAGAGATATAACAC